TGTAGCTCCAACATCATTAGTTTTTCATATCCAGATTCGAGTTGTTCGTTTAGAAATACTCTGCTGTTGTCTCCTTCCATTATCATCATTTCTAATGATGTTTTATCTACCTTAATTTTTCCCAATTCTATTTAAAGCCTTTATAATTGCCTCATAAGGTCCTCATCATTACTAACCTTTTTTCTTTTCAATGACCTTTCATCAGAACATGGCATTCTAGGAGCGGCAGTTGAGGTCAAATTCGTTTATTTTTCATATCCTTCACTTGAGCTGGGGTCTCTCAACCTTTGAGACTCCTTTTGAATTAAAGTTAAGTGGCTCCAATCTTGTTTGATAGTTTCAAGAACTTCGAGCGGGGATTGATCCTTAAAAAATCCGAAAAATTCAGCGAGTCCCACAATTCTTAGGATGTGTTGTATGCCACCTAATTGTCTTATCACCAAGGCCGGAGCATAATGACATAACCTGTGATCCCAACTAAAGGTACCCAACATTTTTGTCCATAACTTACTAGGATATCAACCGATTTAACCCAAAGGACTTTCCAACTAAAGTTGCTACTAGGTAACTCTTGCAGTTTTTTCATCCAACCCTAATCGCCCAAACTGCCCCATTCTTCTTCTTCTACTAACTTCAAGGGTTTTTGGTTAAACCACCAAAAATTATTAAATATCAGCCTTTTAGTTTCAATATGGCTTACCATCCAGATGTATAATAACTGAGTACAACATTTCATTGTGCCTTTCTCAATCTTCCTAATCTAATATGGCAGTTATAGGGTTAACATGAGTATTTTCATATTCCACAAATGCAGCAGCAACTTCTAGACTTATAAACCTGTTAAGCTTGAAAATAATACGAGACCATATATCCCCAGAGCGATTAATATGTCTTTTTCTAGCATCCATCCATATTGTGATTTTTTTTTCTTTCTAGTTCGACCTCCAGAAATTTCCACTTTAAAGCGCTAGCATTCTTCTTTAAAAATCTGCTTATGTATGGAATTTTCAACAATTTTGATAATTCAGGAATTACCTTGTCACTTCTCAAAGGAAAATGAACCTTGTGCAGGTGTTTGGGAAACTCCACCAACATTCCATACTCTTCTACAGTGGGACCCAAATCCATATTTCCAAAGGAAAAACATCTGTAATCTAGATCCTAAAAGTTAATCAGGGCTTTGATTACTGGGTTCAATACTTCTATCTTAGTAATTTCTAATAGTTCCCATACTTCTTGAAAAATGTTGCCTCATCAATGTTTTGAATATAAACTAATATTCTCTTCATCTCATTTACCATGCAATTCAGGTCTTTGACTATTATAAGCTTCCTTGCATTACATCCAGAGTCGTCTCTCTCTGATAGTTGTGACAATTCAGAATATAGTAGTAAATTTGGTAATGATGGCTATTTTATCGTTAAAAAGACCTGAAAACCAATATGTTTTATGGTTAGGTTTATGTATTATGCAAAACATGTATAGTGGAGCATACACTCTAAAGGTCGGTTCTAATTCTTTTAAGCTTGATAAGGGTAGGTTGGCTATTTTGTCTCTAACAGGGTCTCTTGTTGTCCTAGTGATTGCCCCCGGGAAGGCAATATGGGGGCTTAGTAGGTAATGGGATGGCATATGGACCAATCATTACTAGTCTATGCACTCGACGAAGAGTTGGGGTTTACACAAACTTAAACCTTGACTAAAAGTCATAAGATAAGCTGCTAGTCCCCCACTTAACCTAAAGTTTTCTCATATAAACTCTCACATAAAAATAAATACATGAAATAGTTCTATACAATGTATGAATAAATATGTACAAAAATTAAAGTGTGTAAATAAAATAAGAATCTTAATGACAAAACATGAACAAAACAAAAAAAATCATACAAAACAATGCTTAGTCCATAAGGTCCACATCGGAGTCGTCATTTTGTCGCACATGTGCGGTGTCGTGGCGATTGCCCTCCATACTCATATAGGTGTGGTATGTATCTTGGCAGATATGAGAAGACAAGGAGTTCTTGTCTTTTATTATTGGAAAAATTGAATGGGAGTCGCCACCTAGTATTCTAGTTATTAGAAACCTTAACTGGTCTCTAGTTATTAGAAACCCTAACTGGTCTTTAGAGATCAAGTACGAAGACTGGTTGCGTGAAGGGAAGGTATTAGCACCCTGACTATGTCCTACCTAAGGTAGGCTGCATTGTTTTAACTAATAAAATCTAAAACCATGTTGTGGTTTCTTATTGTTCGGAATATGCATTACGTGTAATGTCATACCCCAGATTCTATTGGTCTGAAAAATAATTAAATATTCAGAATACACATTACATGTAATATCATACCCCAGATACTAAGAGACAAACAAAATAAAATTTTTATTGTTTTTTGAAATTTTGGTCAGTGTTCTCTTGATTTTAATAAACTGGTTATTAAAGCCAAAATGCATGCTAAACAGTTTTTTTGGTATAAAAAAAACACTATATGATCTTTTAGCTTTGAGACATTTGGCCGTATGCACAAAAACACTTTTCTCTTTTCTTATTTTTTTTGTTTGTATTTTTTTGAAATTTGATGAAAATCGGGTTTAATCTTGGATTTTGTATTTTAGCAACCTAAAAATACTGCTTGATATTAATCAAAAATAAAAAATACAAGGAAAACTTGTAAAATTCCAAAAAAAATATTTTGAATTTTTAAAAAAAAAAACTAGGCCAGACTTGGCCCAATCATCTCGAGATGGGCCTGACCCGACCCATACAAAGTGGGCTGGACTCAACCCAGCCGCATGGGCTGGGCTGATGTTCCAGCCCATAATCAATACAAGGGCTGGTTACTATGCACAAAAAAGGATTGGTTACTGTGTTGTGCACAATAACCAACTGAATATAATTAGCTAGTTAGTGTGCACAACACAGTAATTAGCTAATTAATCTTTATTTGCATGCACTAGCTAATTAATCTTCATTTACTGTAGAACGTAAACGTTCTGCATGCAAATGAAGATGAAGCTAAAAACGATTGAAACTAGAGGGGAGAAAGTTACTTGGAGCGGTGGCGATGCTAGTAGCAGTCGATGCGGTTGTTAGTGGCAGTGTACGGTGGCGGTGGCAGTGGCAATGGCAACAATGGTGGTTTTCCTTCTTTCTCTCCTGTGTAGAGACACCAATCTGTGTCTTCTCCTTCTTGGTGGTTTGTTGCTCCTGTCCCTTGTTCTTTTTTCTTCATGTTTGTCTCTTTCGTTAGCTTCTCTTTTCTTCTTTCTTTTTTTTTCTTTATTTTGTCTCCTCTGTTCTCCCCTATTTTGCTTTTCTTCTTCCCTTTAATTTCTACTATCAAGGTCCGTTTCTCTTCACTCCTTTCTCTCCCAAAATCCTTTTGTCTCTCTCTTTCCGTCTCTTGTTCCTCTCTCAAAAAATTGTGGCTCTCTCTTTTTCTTGGTTTCTCTTACTTTCTCTTTTGAAAAATCCTTCCAGCTTTTCTCACCCTTTTTTCTCCTTTTCCCCTTTTTTTGCTGCACTCCCTCTATACTTATAGGTAGAGGGAGAGCAGGCCAGCATTTATCATGGTGCAGAGCATGGTGGTATAGGGGCGGCTACTGCACGACCCCCCCCGCTT